TTGCAATATGCATTTTTGCTGCCTGTTGCAGCGCTCTAGCGCTGCACGGCAAAAACGCATAAAAATTAATATCCGATGAGTAGGACAACATGCTCACCGTCGCGAGAGCTACAGAACGCGGAAGAACAATTGTTGCACTCCCGTCATTATAGCTGATCAATGATAACGCTGTATTAGCCGTCCAATTAATTGTGGGCGGGATTGTACTTTAAGCCAGATAAGAGGGAAGGGGTCGTTGATCCCCCTCCTGGTTCAGTGCTGAAGTGGAAAATTTGGAACGCGGTTCCTTGGAGAATGTTTCTGGACCAGCTGGAATATTGTGCTTCTGTTCGCTGTGGACTGCAGCATTTTGCAAGTTTGCTGTTCTGGATATCCGATATTTTTGACGACCGTTTATGAAGATATACTGTAAAAAGAAATTTTGATTGGAGAAAATAATCAGCGAGTGGGTACCCGCTAGAAAGTACTTTTCCATTCAGGGCGCTTCCATTCAGATAAACATCGAACAGGCGGCTATTGCTAGCTGAAAAGGCTTGAAAAGCATAGAATTTAGAGACCTGCAAAGCTACCTTAGCATGTGGTTGCAGCCCACAACACCGTTAAAATCGAATGCTCACACTGACTGCCCAGACAGTCTTTGTAATTTTTAGTAATTGACATACTAGAAAAAAAAATCCCCAGATTTGTTTGAAAAGAATATTCACAAATCGCCTGGTCGCTGAACAGCTCAGGAAATACGTAGAATTAGAAATTGGAATTGGGAAACGTAAGCTCGAAATGAACTATCTCTTCGTAAACTCATTTAATACTTCTTTGAAAATTAAATTAAGGTTGAAAGATGAAAAGGAAGTGATACGGAATAAGAAGGAATAAAGAATGACGATATTAGAAAAATTTTTTACATTGGGGAAAAATGTTTCATTCCAAAAAGTTGTGTGCTCTCACTAGTGCCACAATGTATGACGATTGTGGCAGGATATCAAATTCACCTTTTGACTTCAGATCGATAACCCAGATAATATAATATTAGACGAAAATGAGCAAAATTGAGGAAAACGACATGTTTCGAATTGGTTTGCCTCATAGAGCGGAATGATTAACTTAAATTCAGTTTTCAGGTCTCATTGTGTCTTAACGTTTGGTCACAGATCCAAATTTGAGCTGCTATCGTAGCCTGTGAGCGAAAAAGCCTACACATGCAACTGCTGAAGATTAATTTGTCAAGTTGTACAAGGCGGGCAAATAATAATCAGTTTTCATATCTATTTTTGATGAAATTATAACCCCAGGTTTGCATTTGGGTGAAATTCCTAATGTTGAAAAACTGACAGCTTCGTGTTTGATTTCACGGATAAATCAAAGTGAACAAACTAAATCCAACTTTCTACTTTCTCCGATTTATGGGCTTACACCTAAACAGGTGCGATGTTGCACCACCGGGGCGTAAAGTACCATAAAGCAAATTTGAAATTTACTTGCAACAAATAGTGAAACACAATGCTTGCTGGCCCGGCTACGCGTTGAGTAGCTGAAAAATATCGCAAACTTTTTTTATAATTTCATCCAGTAGTCAAATCTCGCTGCCACCGAATCGCTGCCTTGCTTGCACTACAAGTTTGTAAGAGCTTGATGGCTATGGTGTGGTAGAATTTTGGGAAGAGTAGAATTCATCTTTAGAATAAGGACCGTTAGCTGTTGGGCGGCACATTTCAGCAAATGTTCTCGCCACCGACAACCGGAGGGCGCTAGTAATTCATTATTATTTTAGGTGAATAGAGGATGGAAGGGAATGATACTTTAGCTGAAGTATTATTAGCGGAGGAAGTGGATAATGACGAATCCATTGCTACGCTCGCCGAAATTTATTATGTATATATGTTAATGTGTATTGTAATTGGCCTAACTGGCAACAGTATGGTCTGGGTACTGATCAGGTTCGTTTTTTTCTTTCCCTTCGCTGGGCTGTGCTTCGAATATCTACAACTGCTTTCGTTAATGCTTACTGCCAGCAAATGCAGGCGTCTTGAATGGTATTTGCTCAAGGGTTACATGATTTTTCTTTTTTGAAGCTAACTGTCTCAGACTTCTCTAAATTTAGATCGAATCGAATTTTGCGGAAGATACCATCCAACATATATTTGTTGACGTTGGCTGTGATGAGCAGTGTATTCCTCATATCTTTATTTACCTTTTGGCTCGAAGAGGTGCCATTCATTTTTATCTTCGCTGTCTGATTTTCTTTCCAGCAAATTTAACACAAATGAGTAATAGAAGGTGCAAGTGAAGATTTCATATCTTCAAAATGCTGTAGCCATATGTTTGAATCGGAAGCCATACCACAGAATTGTTCAGAGGCTCGTCTACGTTTCATCCGACTAATAAGCCGTCATCAATTAAGGAATTTATAATGTGTAACATGTTCCTACTCTGCGCTGCTTCGCCGCTTACGGTTACCGAAGGTTCAGTTCCCTTCGCCGCACTCTTTCTGATTATTGTCATGGCTGCTTTTGATCTTAATCATTTATTCTTACGCTGTAAATGTAGCTCATTTTATGTAAAACTTTAAAGCTTGTTTAAAGGTTTTTCATAATTCATGAATGCTTCATGCTACTACGACGAGCTGCGTAAAACAGTCAGCGAATTTGCTGGAAGCGATTGTTTTCAGCAAGGGCTGCTACGCTATCGCTCGTCTGTGCTCTGTAAATTGCTGACATTCATTGCTCATTTCTGTGATTTTTCATCGGTTTGGCTGATTGTTCTGGTGGGCTTTGAAAGGCTGGTACTTCTTTATCGATCATCGTAAGTGTTTGCTAATTGTCCGGATCACCCATAATTGCCCTTAACAAATCAAAGTCAGAATTCAGCACTTCCTCTTTTGTGAGAGTGGAGCCACTCGGAAATAATAGGGCTTGTAACACACTGCGGACAAAAGTAGTCAGCAAACAAGACTCTCGATGGCTTTTCCTTTCTCTTTTCGAGGTCGTTAGCACACGCCTTGAGATGTGCCCGCGGCTAACATGACGAAACAGTTTTCTAGAGGAACTACTTTATCCATTCGTGAAAGCGAGCTTTCGGCTTGAGCTTGAGGTGCTAGCTATTACCATTTCTAACCCAAGCGCTACCGTTATACAAAATTTCAGTAAGAGGTATTTATCCAAATCCCATGTTTATCGCTCTCGTTTATATATTACTTTTAACAGTGATACACTGAGGATCGAGATGGGGAAGAACAAAAGCGATTATTTCTTTTTTAAGAATATTATGCGCAAAATTTAAAAGGAAATCATGCGGATATTTCGATGCTACAAATAATTTAAGCGTAGTAGAAGAGAAACAGCGAGTTTTGAAGGGATTTCTCAGATGCACTGCTTTGGTCCGCGGGCGTTACCAGAACTGTCAATGGAGGCGCCCGGCTAATATTCCAGAAAGCGCAGAATGCAGCCAACGTATTCAGTACGCATCTGCAAAATCCGTTCAAAGATCGCTCAAATTCAAATGCACACTTTTCGGCTTTTTTTGGTACCACCTGTTGGTGCGATAACTATCTGTAGGGACGAGTCACTTATGAAAAGGAATACACCAACTTTATCTCCGCTTGTAAGTTATGTAACGAAACAGCATAAAGGAAAGTAAGAAGTGTGCAGAGTAAATTATTATAACTCAGACATGAAAGTTGAGGGTACAGCAAATTGCAGTTGCAGGATTAAAATGAATACATCGAAAGCACAGCTTCACTGTTGTGCGCTGTTGTTAATTTCTTTTCTCTTTAACGCCTGGATTTTATTTGTTGCATCGCTAAACGAGTACGGTGAATGCGATATCATAATCGGCTACGAATTCATTTATGCCGTTAGTTCTTATCCTTTTTTTGTGTCTTCGTATTTTTGTCTTTCCAATATCTTTCGAAAGTCTCCAGCTCAGTTTCAAGAATTTCAAAATTTTGGGCTGCTCGGAGTCAGAGCGGGCAGTAGTGGACCTTCACTAAAGCCTAACATTATTTAAGGCCACAACTAGCTGGCTTCATATTTCTGGCCACTGTTACAATCGATATAATGAAAAAAGAGTGTATTACGGTGACCCTTCTAATCAAATTTCGTCTTAGCACCATTATTTCTGTTTATCTCAGCTTTAGTATTTCCAGTTTTGTTTCTGTTGATCATGATGTCGCCATTATCAGATTGTAGAAGTATGTATTTGGATTTTAACATGTGGACATACCACTGAGCGCCCTGGGAATCTCCGTAAGTCAGGGAAAATAAAACATTTTTGCTAAACACACCGAACAATAACAGGCCAAAGAAATTTATGAAGTTCTGCAAACTATTCAATAACTGGCCAACGCACGGGCTGCCCGTGCGAAGATGCATTTTTTGCATAGTTCCCCTCAGTTTTTGTTGCTACGGCACCGGTTCTTTCGGCAAATGCTTCTAGCTAAACAAATTGAGACTGGCCGCCAGAACTGTCAAAAAACACCCCTTAAAATTTCAGCATTCTAGCTTCCCTGGCTTCTAAGTTAGCAAATTACTGGAAAAAAATTTTCACGGGCCCGTGAGTGTTCACCACGCATAACCGAGAGTTGGGTTTGAGCTGAATGAAACTTAGTTGGACGGGGTATGTCCTCTTAAAATTACTCGAAAAAAATTTTGGCGGACTCGTACGCGGGTACCACGCTTATCCGGGGGTGGATCTGAGCTCACTAATACCCACTTGGACGGGGAGCATTACCCTAAGATTTCAGCTTTCTAGCTTCTCAGATCCCCACGTTATGAAATTACCCGTAAAAAACTGGCGGGCCCGCATGCGGGTACCACGCGATGGCGCCCATTTTTATGCGTTTTTGCTGTGCAGCGCTGTAGCGCTGTTACAGCCAGCAAAAACGCATATTGTCGACAGGCTGTCTGTGCGTGTGTGTTCGGAAAACGAGTGCATTTTGTCACCCACTTTCAACTCGGCAACCAGGAAAGCTGGGG